AGAGCCGGTCAGAGGGCCTAAACCGTGACCACGTTCGCATGCTTCAGATGATTGCCCAGTCGTCGGGTATCGATCTTCGCGCATCGGATCTGTTCGATCGACTCGGTGCTGATATGAGCGGCGATGACGAGGACTTTACCAGCGACTCAGAGAGCGATGGCGATGACGAGAAGGACCAGGACATGTCTGATGGAAGGGATGGCGGCGACAAGGAGATGGCAGAGGATACCAGTGACGGTGGCAAGAAGGCGCAGGACTGGCACATTGTGATCAAGCTCAAGTGCGAAGACGAGGAGCGTGTAGTCTCGTCGTCCGAGAACATCTTCCGTGTTGTCAGTAGATGTGCCAGCACAGCGAATCGCTGAGGACAGCCAACCCGTGGATCCAGGTGTTCACGCTGCAGTTCCATATCGAGTTTGGCCAAAGCAAGCCAGGACGACGCAGCCAGTATTGCGGAACAGCGTGTGCAGCTGGCAAGCCCAGATCCACCGCAGCTGGATGAGATGCTTGGCAAGCAGAGCGCAGTCATCATCGAGCTGATCAAGCAGCTGCATGAGCATCTTCCGCAGGCCGTGCGTATCCTGCACCAGAAGCGGCTGATTACTGAGGACTCGGAGCTGTTCATCAACCGCAAGATCGCAGCCAAGGTCACCCGCCAGCTCGATGACCCCCTGCATGTGGTATGCGGTGCTATCCCGCGCTGGTGTCACCAGCTGGTCCACTACATACCGTTCCTGGTGCCATTCGAGACCCGGCTTGCATATCTGCAAGCGACCAGCTTCGGCTACTCGCGCAATATCAGCCGCTGGCAGACGCTGGCACAGCGTGAGGCACGCAATGGATCGAGCCGTGCCTCCGACATTCAGATCCCTCTTGGCGGATCCAGCGCCAAAAGGTCCGTATCTCGCGCCACCGCATGCTCGAGTCGGCGCTCAAGGTCATGGAGCTCTATGGCACAGCCAAAACCATTCTGGAAGTCGAGTACTTTGACGAAGTCGGCACTGGGCTTGGACCCACGCTCGAGTTCTATGCGACTGTGTCGCGTACCCTCAGGGACAAGTCGCTGGAGCTGTGGCGCGATCCGACTGGGTCTGCCCGACAGCCAGGCCGCAGACAAGGCAGCGAAACCAGACTACATCGATTCCCAGCTGGGCCTGTTCCCACGAGCAATCAACCGACTGTGCCGGCGACATTGCCAGCAGCCGAGAAGACCGATGAGTCGGGCAAGGTTCTGTCACCAACAGAGCGTGCATTCAACTGTTCAAGTTCATGGGACATTTTGTTGCCAAGGGCTTGATTGACGGCCGCAACCTTGATCTGCCGCTCCACGAGGAGTTCTGGGCTGCTGTACAGCGCTACAGCACGGGTGACGACACAAAGACCGGCCTCTCATGGTCCTGGCGCAGCTCGAGCACGTGGACCCAGCCCAGACCAGGTCCCTTCAGTATCTGCAGCAGTTTGTGGACCAGCGGACCGAGATCTATCAGCGCGAGGACCTGACTGCCGACCAAAAGATGGCTGAGGCTGAGGCAATCCGTGACCCGAAGACCGACGCCTCGGTTGACGACTTGTCGCTTGACTTCACCTTGCCCGGGTACCCAGACATTGAGCTGCGCGAAGGTGGGTCGAGCATCCTGTCACGATCAACAACCTCCCAGCCTACATTGACCAGGTCGCCCAGTGGACACTGGGCAAGGGCATCCAGCGACAGGTCCACGCATTCTGCGACGGCTTCGACAAGATCTTCCCTGTGCGCGACCTGTCAATCTTTGCGCCTGGGGAGCTGAGCCGCCTGGTTGGCCCGTCGTCAGACAGTGAAGACTGGGCATGGCGACACTGCTAGGCGCGGTCAAGGCTGACCACGGCTTCTCGTTGGCATCACCTGCGGTCAAGATGTTTTTGGACTTTATGGAGTCGCTGGACTCTACTGGCCGCCGCCGCTTCCTGCGCTTTGTGACAGGGTCGCCGCAGCTGCCGTTTGGCGGCTTCCGTGCACTGCACCCGCCGCTGACGCTTGTGCACAAGCCCCACGAGGCACCACTGACACCCGACGACTACCTGCCCAGCGTCATGACCTGTGCCAACTACATCAAGCTGCCGAACTACTCGACGCCCGAGATTCTGGCTGAACGCTGGAGCCGTGCAGTCACTGAGGGCCAGCAAAGCTTCCATTTGTCGTAAACACAATAGATTTTTCTCTCCAAACACAACATGCACTTGCATACTGGTCCCACATCGCGACAGCTCACTCTGGAAGAAAAAGAGCAGGATTCAATGTGGATCCTATAATCCGGTACCCTAGCCCATAGTTGTACCATGATCGGTGCTGAGCAGCCGTGGTGATGCCAACGCGCCTTTCATTTCCGCTCTTTACTCAAGCATACAGTACGCAGCCTCTCTTCTTTTCTTTGCAAGCATGGAGTCGAACCCGCGAGGAATCCCGAAATCGCCCTTTTGTCGATGACGTCGAGGCATACCTGAAGACGGACACGGTCCAGGCAACCCTCAACAAGTTCACTGAGGCTGCGAGCAAATACAAATACATGGGAGAACTCGAAGCTGCAGCAGCGGCTGAGCCCTGGGAGGGCAAAATTCCCGACATTGAGAAGACGCTGAGCATGGGTTTGACTTTTTGATCGAGAAGCGCGGTTCAGACGAGCCCGTCAAGACCTTGTTCGAGGTCAACGACACCCTGTTTGCGCACGCAACGATCCCGCCCACCGAGACGGTCAACCTGTGGCTCGGAGCCCAATGTCATGCTCGAGTATACCTTGGACGAGGCCCCGAGAGCTGCTGGCGAGCAAAGCTGGATATCGCAAAGAACAACCTGAAGGACACTGTCGAGGATCTTGAATTCCTGCGCGATCAGATCACCACCATGGAGGTCAACACTGCGCGCGTATACAACTGGGATGTAAAGCAGCGTCGTCTGGCCACTGCCGCCGCAGTTTGCTGCGACGCCTGCCGCCTCTGCGAAATAAGCAACCCGCTCTGCCCTAAACCCCATCTCTTTGAAGCAGATACGCTGGCCATTCATCGCTGGATCAGCCATGACTGTAGTTGCTCTTTCAATAAAAACCGCATTCGCACTTACCCGCAGGTCTTTGCACTGGGCAGGCATGTTCTGTTTTTGAGATTTGGGGATTTTGGAGGAGTGTCATTGTAGAAGAACATTGGAATGGAATGCTACGGACCGAGTTTCCTTTACGTGCTCCACCTCGGCTCGTAGTCAGAGTCGGCTGATGCAGGCTGCCTGACCCAGATCACAATAGTGTCGTCGCCGTCACCGTAGCACCTGGTTGCGTAGCCGGGCGAGGTCTGTCTTGGTAGGGCGACCTGGTCATAGGTGTAGAATATCACGTTACGCGGCGCATTAGGGTAGTACTGGAAGAACACGTCTTCTAGGATGTAGTCGCTGCTAAGGATGTCTCTGAATAGAAAAGAACCCAATGCATCACGGAATTCAACTCTGTGTCCAGTCCTACAAGTGGAAGACATGAAACAATCAGCAGCTAGACGGCACCTTTTCCTCAGCAATGCTGATGAGCGATGCAATAACATACATGTGTAGATGTGTGGAAAGCAGACTTGCACTCAGCAGTCTGTGTCTCCTTCCAGAGGGTAGAGCGGTTTGAGCAACCAATTATAGTACAGAGCAAGATGGAATGAGGGCGAAAAGCAAGGGTGATGGCAAAGAGAGGGAAACGAGAGGCTACCAAACTAGGTATCAAACACATTGCGTTCTGCACTCCACATAGCCGATGGGGGGTTTAAAAGGGCGCGCAACCTGTATGCTCTTGCTTTGCAAGGCCAGACACTGGTCCGAACAGTGCACAGCTTCACAGAAGACCTATGTGCATGGGCGGCACTGACATATCTGGACACACGCACTGAACATGGGATTTGCTATACCGCCGATTATTGTTACCCGGGTGTCACTCTGTTCTGCAACGCCAGAGGCGCGTCTTTCCGCCAAGCCAAAGCAAGATTTGCTGGCATTCGTGAAAAATGGCCATGTGTCATTGAAGGTGGCACTTATTAAACTCTTTGCCACGGTTTTGCAAGATTGACGCGCTGCTGTCGAATAAATGAAGCAGGATGATGACACAGGGCGGCAGCTGAAGGGACTCCAGAAATCAGGCAAATGGACCGAGAATAGTGTAGGAGTGTCGGCATTCTTTGGCATAGATAGCAGCAAGATCGCCTGCATCGGCATACCACAGGAAGGCATGGATGAGAAACTGACATGTTGACTAGTGTAAACGCTTTGGTGGGCGAGGGAACTCCATGAGACAGGGATATGTCTTCCTAGCGCAGTGACCAATACGATCGGGCGCAGCCTGACCAGCCGCCGGTAGAAGCATCGCGATTGCATTTGTTGGAGGAGGGCAAAGTGATATGCAGACTGCGCACCAATGACACTCGGAAAAATGAAGGACGCATAGTGCCACTTACCTTGAACGGCCGCGGGCAAGAGACATGCCACGGTTGCAAATCGGCCACTTGGCAAGGAACTCAAGGCTGTTGGCACCTGGCGCTGACCTTTTGTTGGGCGCATTGATGCCCATGAGAAGGCTGCTAACCCCTGGCAAGGACATTACCTGGTTGGGCGTCTCGACGTGAGTTATGTCTAGCTCATCAGCCGAGGCAACGTCTTGATCATCGTCGCTATTACACTCCTCCACCTCATAAGCTTGGGCCGGCGTTGCAGGCAGACCCGCTGCCTGCTGCGTGTAGCGCATCTGCGCCAGAGCAGCCACAGCGGTAGCACTGTGGCCTTCGGTACCACCACTGTCCGGTACCTCAGTCCTGCACTCATAGCCTTTACATGCGGGGAATCTATCCCCCACATGCAGCGAGCTTGGCGTTTGCACTGCTCCAAGCCATCTGCAGGTGTCGCTCTGGCCAACCGTGGGGCGAGGGAGACTGCCAATAGGGGCAGCAATCATCTCTGGCAAAGGCTGGTTGGCAAAGTTCTGCGAGATCGTGCTTCGCAGCGACGAATTCGGGTATTGGATCGGCGACATGGCAGCATTGGTTGGATGCGCCCGTGGTGTCCACCCAGAAGCATCGCTACTACCAAAACTGCCCACGCGAGATGCAGGTCTGGTGCTGTGATAGACCTGAGCCGGGTCCTCTTCCTCGTCGGATAAAACGATACCCTCGTCCTCGGTGCTATCGCCCTTGCTGATGCCCTGGAGATGACTGTTCCTGGCCAAACGTGCGCGGCGGAGACGCTGCTGGCAGGTGCTGCAGATATTTGCACGCAGCAGGTTGCGCTCGAGTGGAGGAGTGACAAACCTGAACCGCGGCCAGATGTCGTTGAAAATATCAATATCGTCTGCGCTGATCTGGCGGTAGCGGAAGCTGAGCAGCTGCTCGCCCTTGACTTTTTGCGGGGACACATGGTTGATTGAGCGCTCCTCGCAATGGCATCTCCCTTGGTGAAACCGCGATCGATTAGCCCGTGGGCAGGTCAGACAGTTGGCGCAGATACGACACCAGTTTTTGCGGTGGGTGAGCATAGCAGAAGGAATGAGATGCAAATGTTTCAGAAGGAACATGATTTCCATGTACCGGTTCCACCTCTACGCGATGGCTGCCCATGTGCTTTATAATCTGCAATGGGAAGCAAGATAGATGGCCGAGCTGAATATGTGACTATGGACTATATTGCAAACATGGTGAAAGAAGCAGGATGGGCACAAGTTAGGCTCTGAAGCCTGTGGTAAGACTGATAGAGTATGCGAAATAGGAGGGTGATAGAAGCAACTCGGGGCACCGTGCGGTCAATATGACAGACAGACACAGGGAGTTTGCAATAATCGTAAACAAACGGGATAGCTGCAGCTGATTGGGGTTCTTAATGACTAGCCTTAGCATAGTTATCTCTGTGTTTCAGCAGCACAACTGCCTGTAGTGAAGTAGACGCATTTGAGGTTGCAATGTGTGCTGCAACTGATGGTAGCGTGTTATCAAGCATACTGCGGTGGCTCGCCTCGACAATAGGTCTGCTGTTAGCAGAATGCCCTTGCAGGTAGGGAGGCTGCTGGTTAGCCATGGTGGTCTGTGTTGCTATGTATGGAATCGAGCGGCCATTGGTGATCTCCAGCAGTGATATGGCAGTCTGGTACTGTGCAGTGTGGCGCTCATGAATCACGCTGATAGACGGCAAAGTTATCTTTGGTAACGACGTGCGGCTACGATGTAGCTGCAAGCCAGGGACACTCTGCGGCAGATGTACCTTGATAACTATCAGATCACCCATCCGCGGGATCTGCGACACCTGCGAGTGGCGCGAGTACAGACACCCTTGCAGCTGCTCGCGGAAAAGTAGCTCGGCAGGGGCACTGGGATAGTAGGCGTCAAACAACTCATGGAGCGTCATTTCACCAAAGACCCACTCACGGAACAGCTCAGCGCCCCTAGCATCTTCAAAGACGATGTTTATTGGCTTGCTATAGGAACAGTAAGGATATACTTAGTTATACATATATTGCTAGATCCTGTTTGATTCATTACAACAAAGATGCTGCCCAAACAAAAGCAGGTTGCACAAAAGGGCGATGTTGGCTAGTACATAAAAGAGATCAGTGTAATTGTCCCGATATCATATCCATCAAGCAAACAAGCTTAGAAGACAAAACTGCAGCGCAATGAATCTCGCACTGTGCTAATACTCAGATAGCACATAGCACATAGCACATAGCACATAGCACATAGCACATAGCACATAGCACATAGCAGATAACCAACAGCAGGTTCGGTTGGTGGTGGGAAATAGGGGATACATCATATGTTTGCTTACCTTCTTGCAGCCTTCAGATGAGCTTTTGCGCTGGGAATATTTTCAAACGATTCGCGCTCCAAACGACGGTGCAGCTGGTGTGCAGCAGGGTCTGTAGAGTTGGGTCTCAGCATAGATGCTGGAACAGTAGGTTCTAGGCTATGATCTGCTGAGGGCATATCATGGTGACGATGCTGCAGCTGCGGCTGCTGGTGCTGAAGCAACTGCTGCGGTGGCAACTGCACTGCAGAAATATCAGCATAGGTATGTGGGTTTGAGTCTTCAGTATCACCACCAATCTCTGTGCTCGGGCGGTGTCTAGGCGGGGTCGACCTGGCCAGCAAATTGGTCACGGGCATCGTCACATTGTTGATGGCCCTGCGGGTAGTCGCATTGCCGCCTTGTGTGGATGCTGCTATGTCCTCACTAATGGTAACACGGATCGATCTACGGCGACGGAAGTCGACTGACTCGTCACCATCATCCTGCGGGTTTCTCATGCCGTCAATCGCACGGCGGATGCGTTGCTGGCACGTTCCACACAGGTTGGCACGATGCAGATTGCTCTCGATCGGTGGGACATTGCTGCGCATCTGGCGCAGGAGGCACTGCAGCGCTTTGATGTCTTGGGCACTAAGCGTCTTGAACCGAAAATCCACCGTCTTTGGCCCCTTGTCGTTTTTCTTGCCCTTGCAGCTGACAACTACGCGCACTGGGCATTCGCAGCTCTTTGTGTTAAAAGCCTGACGGACAGTACGCCCAATTCCCTGGCAGGTTAGACACACGCGACACAGGCGGCACCAGTTGAGGTCGAAATCGATCATATTGGGCGGGGGCGGCTGGCGTGGACGAGGGCGGCGCATCAGTATGTTTGATGTGGGCGTATTAGCCATGTGTGGCATGCCGCCCTTGCTTCTTTTTGCATCGCTATCGCACTGCATAGGTGTTTATAGGCAGAGTGTATGGATGTCGAAGTCTGTAAAGACGACAATAACAGGCGCTGGGTGGATATGCAGAGGTGTACTGATGGATATTCTCGGGCAGAGTCGAATGAAGCTTGGTAAGGGTGCGGGGTAGGCCTATGGATATTTCATATAAGCGAAAAGTGTACAGGATTACTGACGTAGCCCTGGTGGTGGGGTAGCAAGTAAAATATAAAGATATCGCCAGCTGTGAAAGACGTGAAAGAGAAAAGATCGCAAAAAAGTGCTCAGGCAAAAATAAAAATGAAAACGCTGAGGTTGAAAGAGGAAACAAGCAGCGCTCGCAGCATTCACACACAATGTCTGCGTGTGGATCGCAATGCGGCGAAAAGCGGGTGAATTATTGCCAGTTGGGCAGGGAAGGGAAGTGGATGGCCAGTCGTCAGCGTATGCAGTCGGAAACGGCTCAGAGTGAAGAGGCGGGCAATCCATTCCTAGTAATAGGATGTTTTGCAGAGTACGAGTACACAACCGGCTCTTCCTGTGAGTGTACTGCCAGCCACAAGCGTGAGCAAAACAGACTGCACAGCCTTTGCGGAGCAGCTGTTATTGCCATGGTCTGCTGTAGCCACCAATGCAGGGCTCAAGTGAGATAATAGTGTGCCCTGTTGTTCAGCACTATGTAGAAAGGAGGGGTCAGCACTGGGCAGCCAACAGCAGGGGAATGCTGGCGGGAAAGCGGTAGGCAAAAAGGCGCTGTTGTCACAGCAGATGGCGTGTGCTAGGTGGCGGTTTTTCAAAAGGGACTCTGTGTCATACGCAAACCAGGAACCTGGCCATCGAACACTGTGTAAGGTTGCTATGTACCTAGTGAATTAGTTGATATGAATGAAGCCTTTTCTTTTGTAAAAGGGTGAGCGAAGCAATGGAACCCTCGAATTGAGATAGCAAATAGGCAAATCAGCCCAGCACTTGGGGGCGGGGCGAATGCAATACAGTTTATATATGTGCGAACCCGCCACCTGCAGCCCCAAGGCAAATGACAAACTCCACAAAAAAGTGCCGGCATGCAAGCGCAGGTTTGCGTTTTTGTCCTCAGGTCCTTTCCCCGTTAACCACATAGCAGCTTGGCATTTCAAAAACAAGTGAAGACGACTACCAGTATTTCTGGATTCAGACGTACAATTGGAGCGCCTTATTGTAGCCATTGTAAACCACCATGCACCGTATGCCAGACCCAGGGAACCCACCACCCCCACCTACCTGTTCCCCGTTCAAAACAGACGAGGGCTGCGGATGCGTAGGAAAATATGCAGGAGTGCAAAGCGGGGTGCATGCTGAGACGCGTTTTTTCCAGCTTGCCCGTGCCAATTTTTTCCGAGGATGAGTGAAAATGGCGAAGCAGCCAGCTGCATGCGTGTGGTGGTTCGTGACTTGTCAAAGCGCATCAATAAGCCGCTCTTCTGATCATGAAGTCCAGATGTGACAGAGGGAAAGTGCGGATTTGGAGATAAGAGCCATTTCAGATAGCGAATGGGTCGGGGCTGGCTATGCAGGCGATTCTCGCGGAGGGGGTCGATATGCATGCTGTTGCAAACATGATCATGCACACATGTAGCTGGCTTCTTCCAGAGCAGCCATGCTGCTGTAATCTATCTGGCCAATTGTATCCTATCTGCTGGTGTCAGTGTCAATCATATGTACCATCCAGACCACTGCATGCTATATCCGCTTATGCTACAATAGAGCGCCCTTTTGGAGCGACTTTTGCTCCACCCGCGCTATACTATGTATTATATTCCCCTACTGTACAGGACCTTGAGGCAGCAGCTACGAACAAATATATCTTTTTCGCTCAGACAAGATTCGCTGATGTTTTCAAAAACGAGTAAACAGCATGATCGAAAGAGACCAGCGCGCATCTTATTATTCCTAAAGGTAGCCACGTCCGGATGAAATAAAATTGTGAATTCAACAGAAACGCAGTGCATCCCTTCTAAGGCCCTATTCCACACCTTTGAAATGCAGTCTAGGAGATGGCGGACACGGGTACAGCGGCCACCAAGTTCAGGCTGGGAGGCCAAATGAAAAGCAGGACCAACGGCTACCACTGTGCCAAAACTGCTATTTTTACCCAGCGTCACCGTGCCGCCAGATAGCCCATGTGATGATATGCCCTTTGTAGATTACTACAACAGGACAGGGTGGAAGCATGGAGGAGGGAATTCAAGGGAGAAGCTCGCCACGCATCCCGTGTACAGGTTTCTTTACTCGGATACCCAACCATAAAAGCAATTCTCTCCACAGAAACATAGACCAGGCATCCACTGTATCTCTTGCCACTTCCAAGTCATCCCCGAAGCAAAGGCGACAGTCGGTCACATATGACCTTTGGGCGCGTATTTGGTCGAGTATACCCAGACGATAGTTATTTTCATTCACGTTCTCATTCAAAATGAGGGGCATGCCTCTTCAGTACTCTGCAGCGAATCAGCGTGCGAGAAAACACAAAAGCACCAAGACCTTGGTCTGCAACTACGGCTTGGCTCAGATTATATCTCTACCTCGTTTACGAACATTATATGCATTCAGGAGAAACATGCCGCATTCTGTTGGGGAAGAAACAAGATGTATCCATAGTGGCAGCGACATGTCAGTGACAGATGGTGCTGGCTGTGTGCATGTGTCAGTATTCAAAAGCCATGCAGCGTAGCTATTGGACAGGGTTGATCCGTCGAGTATCAGGGCACCTAGATCCTAGGGATCTGAAACACTGACACCACTCAGCAGCCATGCCGCATCTAGATTCGTTCTCTGGTATGGTAATCGGCAATTTTCCTACTCCTTGGAGAGGAGTACTTGCATAAATTGCTGTTGGTGCATAAAGTGGTGCCGCCGAAAAGCGAGCAAGTGATTGACTTGGAGCGCCTACCTCATGCGCCACTGAGCAACAGCTGTGTCTAGTTACGGCTCGGAAAAGGCATATCATTCAAAAATTCTTCTCAAGTAGCAGCCTGCTATCCTGTCGCACTACACATCTGACTATTGTAGTATTGTAATGCGCAGCTTCTCTTATATCTGCAACTTGTGGCCCTGAAAGGAGTGCTTAGTTGTTATGCAACAGACACAGTTACTCTGCCATTTCAACCAAACCCAATGTGCTAGGTTGTCCACACCCATTGCTTTTGCTAATGATGCACCTACATATTTCGGAGAGTGTGAGGGCGGGCTTGCCATTTGCATGGCAACTGCATGTCTGCAAAGGAGCTGCACTGTCTTTCATCTTTGCAGTCCTCGCCTCCGCTCTCACTCTCACCATCCCCTTTTTCTATGCGGTTGCCAGCCACTGGGTCATCACCAGGCTGGCGGTGTTCTGTGGGCACAGGGTTGCTGTTTCAAGAAATATCAGCGGGCACTTATCACACCACTTACTCAGGTAGCCAGTGAAATGCAATAATACGTCGTCCCCGCGCCAAATCACGGGTGGACGGCTGTAGATATATTGTGTTGAATGTGTGGGGATTTTAGAGGTTATATTTAATACTGGAGAAAAGAGAGAAAAGGGAATAGACGAGTTGCGCAGGGGTATTTTCAATACAGCCATCTGTGCAACTTATCAAAGGCTAGACTCTACCACGATATTTCAGGCTGTAGCGGGGGTCTCGTTGGCGCCTAGCTTGATGTCACCTGATTCTGCTGACATGTCGACGTCAGGGACAGCTGCAGGAGGCGCGCAATAGGTATAGGCGTATGTATATCCAGCATACTCTGTTGTTATGCGTACATGCGACATATAAAATTATGCTTGCTGACATTCGGAGTCTAGAGTCCCCTTGCTCCACCATGGGCAAGGCCGAAACGTATACGTACAAAGGCCCAGGCAGACAGCCAGCTTTCCTCTTTCCCCTCAGTCATATCTTTGAGAGGCTGTTTCTCCATATACCTGATATCCACCTATCATTTAGATTAACAATACCCAACACCGAGGCATGCGCAGCCACAGCCATAGGCGCCAGAGGTTCGAGACAGGGGATACACAGCAGATATCACCGATACGTCCACATTTATCTGCAGACCATGGCCTGGTTCCTGATCTACTCCCTGTGAGCTGGCAGTTTTATAAACGCCCGATCCACAATGCTCCAGCTCATCGGTTAAGTTTCAAGTTTCAAGGGCTCTCGACGTTCCACGCTGCCATTGGCTGAGCCTGATTTCTTATATTGCCAACCTTTTCCGAAACTCAACCGGGCTGGCATTTCCTTCACCTCTCATCCACACTTTGCCTTCCATTCACTTTTGCAATCCACCTCACCCGTTTTTTAACTTCTGAACCGGAAAATGTCGCTGGCACAGCCTACAAAGGACGAAATTACCACAGTATTCAAGCAGCTGAGATCCAAGCAGCCCGAAAACAAGGTTTGCTTTGACTGTGGCTCGAAGAATCCGACATGGTCGTCAGTCACGTACGGCGTGTACCTATGCATTGACTGTTCGGCCGTGCACCGCGGCATGGGCGTCCATATTTCATTCGTTCGCTCGACAGTGTTGGACTCGTGGACGTGGGACCAGCTGCGCACAATGAAGGTGGGCGGCAACAACAATGCAGCAGCCTTTTGGCGCCAGAACGGCGGCGCAAAGTTCCTGACCGCAAAGACCGGCAACGACACGAAAACCAAGTACACAGGACGCCAAGCTCAACTGTACAAGGCGCACCTGCAGCAGCTGGCAAAGAAGGACCTGCTGAGCTCGCATGATGGCCGTGTCATAGTTGCAGGCGCAGAGGTGGCTGCTCCAGCAGCAGCTGAAGACGACTTCTTTGCGCGCGAGCTGTCGGCAAGCTCGTCTAAGGCCACGTCAGAGGAGCCCACTACAGGTCCAGTCCGTGGTCTGGCCCCGCCCACAGTCATTCTCCAGGCCGACGAATCGGACTCTGCGCAGGCCGACGACCAGGCCACAAGGGCCATTGAGGCCTCCGCTGCTCCTGCTGCTGCGAAGCCCTCCACAGCACGGGCGCCTGTTGCACGAGTGATCCAGCCCTCTACCACTGGGTCAGCTACCAAGGCTCGCACGGCCGCTCTGAAGTCGACACCAAAGTCGTCTGGACTAGGAGCAAAGAAGCTGGGAGGAGCCAAGAAACTCGGCGGCGCAAAGAAGCTGGGTGCCAAGCCCATGGTTAACTTTGAAGAGGCTGCTGCCCGCGCCGAGGCTGAGGCTCGCGAGGAGGAGCGTCTGCAGGCGATGCGCGATGCGGTCACGGCCTCGCACTCAAAGGCTAAAAGCAGCGCCAGTTCAGCAACCGCCTCTGCGTCTGCAGCAACCACGGCAGCGAGTACAGCTGCTGCAAGTTCGGCTGCGCGGGGTGTCCAGGGCTCGAGCACAAAGGGCGATGTGGATCAGCTTTCCTCGGGGGTAAGCCGGCTTGGATTTGGTGCCATCGGCGGCGGAAACCAGTCCGGGACTGGCCTTGGATTCGGATCATTCGGCGCAATGGGTGGCAACAACAGCACAGGATCGGCACAAGAGCGATTCCAAGGGGCCAAATCCATCTCGTCCAGCCAGATGCTCAGTGGAAACACACCCGCTGAGCCTGAACTCAGCTCGTCGACTGCACGCTTTGCCAACTCCAAGAGCATCAGCTCCAGCCAGTACTTTAACCGCCCGCCGCAGCCTAGTGCCCACACACGGGCTGCTTCCGGCGAAATCGACCTGCAGGAGCTCGGCGCTAATGCGCGTGATCTGGCTCAGCGGCTGCTCAACTCGAACGAGGCGGATAACCTGCGGCGCATGTGGGCGCAGGGCGCGTCCAAGCTGTCAGAGTATCTAGATCAGCTCCAGGAGCGGTAAGCGGCCCTAGTTCTGGATAGCGAAGCCTTGATGAATATACCTTTTGCCCTTTGCACCTTACCTGTTCTCCACATTCCCTCACTGAAACACGTTCAAGTTTACACACCGCATTTTTGGGAACGGCTTGGGATTGCATGGAGAAGAGTAATATACAGTGAAAAGCTAGTCTTTGTGTGGAAGATCGCCGGTAGTGCTGGTATAGTCAAAGTGAGGGTACACCCAAGGGTGGAGACGTGAATATTAGTAATTCACCAGGGGTGGGGTAATGAGGCAGCCGAGAGTTTGGTGAATTGCTATCCGCATATATGTGGGAAAATGAACTTTATGGCCCTTAGATGACCAGCAGCCCTTGGCACACATCTCTGCAGGTGGAATGAAGCAATTATGTTTCATATAAGGCTGACAGGAGGTCCACCGCCCTTCAATACATTCAACACTTGTCCCCTATCTCTTCTACAGCCCATTGAAACACGAGCGGTACCTCCCTCTTTTCTCTGATCAACCACACCCCACTGACGACAGACTCATGCAACTCGTCACCTCCTTCGTTTTGCTGGCTGCCCTGGCCTCGGCCACTGCTCTGCCGCCGCAGGCGCACATAAATGGTGGCAGACGGAGCGGGCAGCGGCTAGACTTGAATGCTTCCGTCGACCAGGCTGGCATATTTGGATTTAACGATGGCGCTGGCATGTTTGGGTTTAACGATGGCACTAGCAAGCTCTTGAACAACATGCCGCAGATGCCCAACCACAACGATATCAGCAATGTCAACTACGACGAGATATATGGCGACCACGCCTCGAACATCTATTCCCTCTATGCATCGGCATCATCTAGGCTGCAGGCCATTAGTGCTTCGTCGTCTGCTTCAGTTGCCAGCTCCTCGGCCATCGCTGCTGCTCTGGCTGCCAGGTCTACCCAGATAATTCAGTTCCCGCAGGTGGTTCAGTCAACACAGACAACAGTGCTGACTGTTGCTGGTTCGCCAACGGCTACCATAACCCAGGCACAGGCCACTGCTGCGCGGACCCTTGCCTCCATATCCCAGGTAGTTCCGTTTATGGATCTTCCGCTGTTTTACTCGCAGCCAAACCTTTTACCGCAGATGGAGGCTGACATTCAGTCAATGCTGACAGCCCCGCCAATGGCTACTCAGAGCCAAATGGCGAACCAAGGAGCTTCTGGTAGTATATCGGTCGTCTCGATTATTCCTGGCACAGCGTTTGTGGCGGCAGTTCCGGCCACTCCCACCACTGCGCCGGCAGCCGCACCTGTCACCATCCCCTCGGGCGCTACGCTGGCCACCAACATGTTCATCCAGAAGCCGACTGCAAGCCAGCCCTTCCGCCTTGCGCCAACAACGGTCTCGCAGAAGCTAAAGTTCAATGATGCCCAGAACGTCCATGATGATGAACAATTCCAGTTCCCTGCTCAGCCAAGGTTCGACCTCGACATCACGTCATTCAACACAGAGGATCCTGCCAGCCTGCCGTTCACAGCAACGGCGGCATCTGGGGTTACTCACAGTGCCCAAGCCCGGCAGGGAGTCGGATACCCGGAGCCCGCCCCCTCGCCAGCTGATTCCGTGCAGCCACCCCTTTATCCAGCACCTCCTCCTCCGGCGTACCCTACTCACACATCAGCATATTCTCCTTCGGCATACCCTACTCAGGCACCTGCATATCCTGCTCCATCGCCTTCAGATGAGGATTGTGATGACACCTCGTCTAGCCCTAGCAGCAATGGCTATGGCGCACCCCCTCCACCGCCGCCATCGCCATCACCACCGCCACCACCTCCGGCATATCCTACATCGAGCAGCGACGATTACGATGCTCCACCACCTCCTCCACCACCTCCTCCAGCATATAGTACACCGAGCAGCCAAGGATATGCTGCTCCACCTCCGCCTCCCTCATCATATAGTACACCAAGCAGCCAAGGATATGCTGCTCCGCCTCCTCCTCCTCCAGCATATCCCACACCGAGTAGCCAAGAGTATGCTGCTCCCCCTCCGCCTCCCTCAGCGTATAGCGCACCAAGTAGCCAAGGGTATGCTGCTCCACCTCCTCCTCCTCCAGCATATCCCACACCAAGCAGCCAAGGATATGCTGCTCCGCCTCCGCCTTCCTCAGCGTATAGCGCACCAAGCAGCCAAGGGTATGCTGCTCCCCCACCACCTCCCCCAGCATATAGCACACCAAGCAGCCAAGGATATGCTGCTCCGCCTCCTCCTCCAGCATATCCCACACCAAGCAGCCAAGGATATGCTGCTCCGCCTCCGCCTTCCTCAGCGTATAGCGCACCAAGCAGCCAAGGGTATGCTGCTCCCCCTCCTCCTCCTTCATCATATAGTACACCAAGCAGCCAAGGGTATGCTGCTCCGCCTCCTCCTCCAGCATATCCCACACCAAGCAGCCAAGGATATGCTGCTCCACCTTCGCCTCCCTCAGCGTATAGCGCACCAAGTAGCCAAGAGTATGCTGCTCCGCCTCCCTCAGCGTATAGTGCACCAAGCAGCCAAGGATATGCTGCTCCGCCGCCTCCTCCTCCAGCATATCCCACACCGAGTAGCCAAGAGTATGCTGCTCCGCCTCCGCCTTCCTCAGCGTATAGCGCACCAAGTAGCCAAGAGTATGCTGCTCCCCCTCCTCCTCCTTCATCATATAGTACACCAAGTAGCCAAGGGTATGCTGCTCCATCTCCTCCACCCTGTCAGGGCACTGGTGGTCAGGGATGTGGTTCCCCTGCACCTGCACCTGCACCTGCGCCAGCTCCTGCATATCCACCAAGCGCCGATGATGAGGATGATACCTTGGAACCTGCTGCTGTGTATCCTAATACAGATAGCCCAGCGTATGGTGCTCCCCCGCCCCCGTCCCCGTCCCCACCGGTTTACCCCACTGCAAGCAGCCAAGGATATGCTGCGCCGGTGCCACCACCTCAGCCGACTTCGTCCGGCGCATCGTCCGCCGACTCGGGGCCTATTCCATCTCTTGGCTACTTGCCAAATTCACCGAGCTCATCGAGCGCAGCTCTTAGCTACTCGGCTAGCCAGCCAAGCTCTGGCTACTCGACGATTGGGCTTAGCTCCAGCTCTATTGGATATACCAACCCGATAGTGACAATCTCAATTGCCTATGGTGCCTCCGATGATGATGACTACGATACTGACGATGAGTCGCCATACAGGCCCAAGAAGCGCCGCCATCATCACCACAAGAGTAAGGAGGAGAGCAGCACCCCTGCGTATTCAGGATCAGTAGCTCCTGCATATGCTTCGGTGCCTCCTGCTCCTGCATATGCTTCAGTGCCTCCTGCTCCGGCACCCGCACCTCCAGCACCGGCTCCTGCATGCTCTAAGCCTGTACCCGTCTATGGCAAACCTGCACGCGTATTCTCGAAGCCGGCTGCCGCTATCCCTAGGCCAGCTCACATACCCCCAAAGCCCATGCCTGTGTTTGGTAAGCCCGCTCGTGGATACCCGAAGCCATACCCTGCACCCTCTTACCCGAGGCCTGCACCTGCCGCTCCAAACCCCGCCCCGGCGCCTGCCTATAAAGCACCCGCATACTCAGCTGCCCCGAAGCCCGCACAGCCTCAGGTAACGCACATGTCTACTGTGACGACACGGACCGTTATCAACTACGCCACAGTCATTGTTGCGTCGGCGGAGCCCCAGACCACCACCATCAACAACTTTGTCACACCAACCCCTGCCGGCTGCTCGTCACAACCAGGACCCTCATCATACCCATCAATAGGGTACCCGGGATCACCTAGCGGACACTAAGTGTATATTTCCATATGCGCTGTCTAACACTCCTCCCTTCTCTTTTTTCTCCCATCCCTTCCGCCTCTATCTCGCTACCTCATTTATGCCTTTAAAATCCTATCCTATAAACAGACACATTTTTGTTGGCTGTTGTTTTAACTTGTTCCCACCCTAGTCTTGTAGCCAAAAATATACCCTTGCAGTTTCAATGTTGCGCCCTATACGAGCTAAAATCGGCAACGCCTGTGATAAGCGGTAGTATCGCATTTTGATCAGAAAAGGATGCACTGCTGGCAGATGAAACATGTGCAGGCAGTAGCAGGTCTATATTTGAGCCTAGACTTGCTCAGCGCTGTCGGATCCCAACAGTGCCGGGCTTGGTTTACCACCTTACTCTATGGTCCATGAGTGCTCGGCATTATTTCCCTGTTCTTCTCGCTCAACCGCTTCCTGTACAACGTCTAACCAGCCTCTGTATATCTGCTTTAAAAATGGTATCCGACAGTAAATTCATGTATGTAGCATTCTTGGCGTGTGTGTGGCTGCCGGCCGCATCAACAGGCCGCCACCTGCCCCCTGGAAAGCAGCAGTTTGTTGTTCTGCGCTCCATCGATACAGGCAGCAGACTTGCCGAGCAATGTCTGATTGGCGAGAAGGACCTTGCGCGAAACATGTCGTATCCTCAGCTTGGTACACACCAGCTGCAATCTATGGCTGAAGCAGCAGTCTCTGGCACAAAGGATAAGGCAGAGGACGCACAGACAACAGGCGGACTCCGCCAAGTGCTCGAACTCGTGCTGAAGACCAACGCCAACGGATTCTTCTACATGCACCACTATCCGTAATGCATTTTGCATGAAGCAGAAACCGGTTGGTCCTGGTGTGAAGATGGCAAGTGAGTCGGGATCGACGCGTACAGGACTGCTTTTTTCTCCTGTTTCGTCGTCTCAGTCAGGCCAAGCTGGCGGTTTCTTACAGGCTCGGGCGAGCCCTTGGGGCCCGGGGCAAAGGGACTGTGCGCATGCATCGTGGGAAGGCAGATCGGCAGCGCGACTTTAGGAACTTGTGTGGCTCACGAGAGGGGCAAAAGTATTCGCCAGCTGTGATCAACCGCTCATTATCCGTCCAAACATTTCGGGGCGCGACGGGCTGCTCCTTGCAGGGCAATTGACCCCCACACCTCGAAGGACGCTGTCTAATTCAGGTACTCAGCTCCTGCCCACCACCGCCACCCGCCCGCTTCTTCCTGCTCTTCACTTCCAGCAACTTTTCTTTCTCTAAGGCATTTTCCTTCAAAACAAATTTTTGCAAATGACCCAGACTGAGCAGACCGCCAGCACACTGCCGCTGTGGACGCCACGCGACCCGCAGTTGACCACGACGCACAAGTTCAGGGAGTTCGTTAACACCAAGCGCCACCTCTCGCTGGCCACGTACCAGGATCTGGACCAGTGGTCTGTGACAGAGATCGAGGCGTTCTGGAGCGACGTGTGGGAGTTTACCGGCACCAAGGCCAGTGCTCCGTACTTGCAGGTGCTGGAGCCCAACAAGACCATGGACCAGATCCCCAAGTGGTTCGAAGGTGCACGACTCAACTACGCCGAGAATGTGCTGGACGGCCGCGAGGCAGAGGAGCGCACGGCGATCTATGCGTTCGGAGAGGGTCGCCAGCTTACAAAGTGGTCGTTCAGAGAGGTGTATGAGAAGGTACGGGGTGCTGGCATCGGCTATGCGCAACGCAGGCGTGAGCCAGGGAGACCGGGTCGCCGGCTATGTGCCCAATGTCGCTGAGACCGTTGTGGCGATGCTGGCGGCAGCGAGTATTGGCGCTATCTGGAGGTAAGTCGCTGCTTTCATGTGACGCGGGCATATGTTTCATCCCTGTGTGATCGGCTGGTGCCTCGGGAGAGATGACTCAGAGGATGCACACTGGCCCTACTGGCCGAGCACAGGTGAACTCGACAAGTAACTGGAGCAGGGCAGATCGGACATGAGATAATCGGCTCATCTGATTTTGATTTCTGCCTGTTGTTTAGCTCGACATCGCTTGATTTCGGCGTAACCGCCGTGCTGGACCGGTTCGCGCAGATCGAGCCCAAGCTTCTGTTCTCGACCGACGCCACGGGCTACAACGGCAAGGTGTTCTCGCACATTGACAAGCTCGCGGGCGTGGCCGCTGGTCTGCAGTCGGTTAAGAGGGTTATCGTCATTCCCTTCGGCGACAACGTGGAGCGTGACACGACCTCGGTTCCGAACGCATGCTCATGGGACTCATTCCTAGCTACGGCCAGCGACGGCGCCCGCTCGAGTTTGCCCAGCTGCCGTTCTACCACCCGCTGTATATTCTGTTCTCGTCGGGAACCACAGGCAAGCCCAAATGCCTGGTGCACTCGGCAGGCGGCATGCTTCTTCAGCACCGCAAAGAGCACCAAATTTCTCAGGACATGGGCGACAGCGACATCATGTTCTACTACACGACCACAGGCTGGATGATGTGGAACTGGCTAGTGGGTGCTCTGTCGGTGGGAGCAGCGATTGTCACCTACGAGGGCTCGCCGTTCAAGCCGTGCGCCGGGTGCACTGTGGGATCTGGTGGACCAGCTGGGGATCACCGCATTTGGCACATCAGCCAAGTACATCCAAACGCTGGAAGACATCGGCTACAGGCCCAAGGAGCACCACAAGCTGGACACGCTTCAAGGCAAATCTACTCTACAGCCTCCCCACTGAAGCCCAACAGCTACGACTTTGTGTACACGCACATCAAGAGCGACTTGTGTCTGAGCTCAATCACTGGCGGCACCGACATTTGCTCGCTGTTTCTGCGGGTGCCAACACTGCGCTGCCTGTATACCGCGGGTGCTGTGCAGTGCCGTGGACTCGGTATGGCTGTTGAGTCGTGGGTCGAATGACCGCAAGCCCCGTGCTGGACCATCCCAGGCGATCTCGTGTGTGTGCGGCCGTTCCCTTGCATGCCTGTGTTCTTCTGGGGCGACGAATCAGGCGAGCGGTACCGTAAGGCGTACTTTGGCAACTACCCGCAGATCTGGTACCACGGCGACTTTGTTATTATCGAGTCGAAGACTGGCAGCGTGCACATGCTTGGCCGCAGCGATGGTACATTGAACCCTGCCGGTGTGCGGTTTGGCAGTTCCGAGCTGTACAACATTGTCGATACCTACCCGGAGGTTGCTGATTCGCTGGTGGTTGGTCAGCGCCAGGGCGTCGACGAACGCGTGCTGATGTTTTTGCAGATGGCTGACGGCCACGAGTTCAATGATGAGATCGTCAAGCGCATCGCTGCCCAGATCCGCCAGCAGCTGTCGCCGCGCCATGTGCCGGCTGTAGTCCTGCCAGTCACCGGCATCCCATACACAGTCAACGGCAAGAAGGTCGAAATCGCCGTCAAAAAGCTCGTCAGTGACCTCTACCGTGTCGCTCAGGTTGAGAGTGCCGAAGAGGCTGTGCGCAGTGTCACCATCGATGAGAAGACAACCTCAACACTGGCTAATCCTGAGACCCTGCAGCAGTTCTATAAACATGCCAAAGCTCCTCCAGTAGACAGTTTTATATTGAAATTAATAGCTAGGCCCGGAATGTGGTAGACACAACCAGAGGGAAGCTCTTGTGCGGGCCGAACGCCACCATTTGCGACCGACGTTATCCACCAGCGCACAGCTGATATGCAGATGCACACGGGTATTGGTGTCGAAGCTGCCCAAACTGTACCGCAGCTGTGGCATGGGCACAGCACACCCACATTCAAAGAATGTGCCCTTGAGCGGCGCCATCACCTGGATCGCCTGCTCCCAGCAGATCTCCGGTCCGGGTCCTGCATGTCGACTGCCGGCTGCCGGCTCTGCGCGATGGCTGTGTGCTGTGCGTAGGTTTCGAGATCACCGTCGCCAGTGTTCAGCGGTTGCTGTGCAAGCCATACTGCTACACATACGCCTTGCAACCTGCCAGCCAGCCGAGGATGTTATCAACAAACCCTTCAACTGCCAGATGGAACTCGCTACCGGCAAGCACAGCACGAGCAGAATCGCCTGTCTCGAGTGTGGGGCGCGTCGATATTGCGATCTGAGGGTTTGCTGACTCCACGAAGAACGAAGGGCCAAGAGCCAGCATTGGCATGTCCACATGAGTACCTCCTGCAATGGCACTGCCCAGGGCGCTCTGCACGCGTCGCAACCATGCCAATGTCGTCCTGTCGATCTGCATAAACGAACACAGAATCGCATCCGCCTCAGTTGCCACAGTTAGTAGCCGCCGGCTGAGTGCCTTCTTGGCATGTGCTGCCAGCGGCATCGGCAGTTTTTCGTAGGCGTGTGTGATCCAGTTGTTCATTGCTTGGACAAAGTCTCCCTGCAACTGCACAAGGAACGACTGGTACTGCCTCCCCACGCCCTTGTTGTTGAGAGCACTGAGGGAGTTCAGCGCACGGTCATTCCATAGCTGATGCGTCTGGTGGTCGTCAGCATGGGACTCGGCTTTGGCAATGCTGTGCACACAGTCGATGTGCTCGCGCTGGCGGCTGCTCAGCTGCTCAGCTGGCAATGCACTGACGAACTCACTCAGTGTTGCCCATGCACTCACCGATGCCAGCAGGGTGATTATCCGCTGGGCGACATATGCTGGTGGCCCGCTGTTGCGATAGGATAGTGGCAGCTGCGATCTGGTTAGCTCGGACCACCTCTCGATCATTCGCAGCCCGGGCATTCCACTCCCTCGTTCGGCATACGGTGCTGTATGAGCCTGGAAGCACAAGATAGCAGCTGTCGACAGCCACGCTGCACGCACTTTCCCGGGCTCGAGACCATCAGCCCCTTGCTCCAATGTGCTGGCAAGCCAGCTGATTCGATCTAGCAGCACCAGCTCGATTTCGTCTATCGTCGTGCTCTCCGCGGCAATTGCTAAGACTGTGTGATGCATGGCTTGGCTCGTAGTCGTCAACATATCATCCAGCGCGCCTAAAATTGCGACAGTTGTGCCCATCGACGCTGCCCACTTCCAGGTCGTCTTCAGCAGCTGCTTCGTATATCTACCATGGCTGCCTGTCTGATTGGAACTCGCAATGGCTTCCATGTTTTTACTATCAGATCGCTCGCCCGGATCTTGTCGTCGGTGCTGCCCCGAACCATGGCAACATTAACAGCTAGCATTGTGCTCGCCGATAGCAGTTGCAGATGACTGAACTCTGAAAAGGCATAAGGAGTTGTCGCATCATAATTGCTGTCAGCAGAGTCCAGGAGGTCCCAGGCAGACCTGTTGGCGACATACTGACCGCACAGGACACCAAAACTCCAGTTGTACATTGCATCGGTGAGCTCCCAACTGGTTCTACCATCACAGATCCCGTAGGTAGCCTCGATGCGTGCCAGCGCTAGAACCACCAGCCGTACATTGCTCAGATCCATATTGCCCAGAGTAGCGCCCATAAGTTTCTGTGCCGAATTGACCAGTCGTCTCCGCATGGCCTTCACCTGTGCTTCCTGCTCATCGGAGAGCATATCACTAGGTCTCCACTTCCCCAGGACGCCTAGTGCAGCGCGACCAAGTGGTCCTGCACCCGAATCGCCCAGGAGAGCCGAGAACGCAACCGCATCCTCTAGCGTCAGCCTGTTGTGCTGCTGCACAATCGCCCT